CGGCGCCGTACAATGCGCACTCGTCTCCCACTTCACCTCAGCAGGGGACGGCAAACTATCCCCCACAATCTCCCCCCTCACCAAAACCGGCAAAACACTCCCCGTCCTCAGCCCAAACTCCCTATGCCCCATCACCCTCAACAAACTCGCAATCTCCCCCGAATGACTCGTCACACTCACAAACATCCCCACCCCATCATCCCCTGCAAACACCTCATCAAGCGCAACCTTACTCCTCACATCCTGCGCCCCGTTAGTCTCCGCCCTCACCCCATCCCACATCCTATCCTCTTCACTGAACCCGTTCTCGAACGTCCACTCGGGATAGAGTGAATGGATGTACGTGGCGTTGTGTCGATGATCGCACGTATGCAGGGAGACACTCTCGCGGAAGAACTCCTTTATCACTGGCGTGAATGGAGAGGATGATGGTTGTAGGGGCAGATCAGAGAATGTGATGTTTGCTGTGTGCAGGGCGCGGAGGAGCGGGCTGACGAAGTAGGTATCTGGTGTGTGGATCCTCTGTGTCTCTATCTGGTGTGACCAAAAGGAGTGGGCGATTTGGGCTTGTTGGATTCCGGTTGGGGTGAGGTCGGCGTCATACCAGGTTGTGGTGGAGTTGCCGGTTAGGAGGGAGTAGTAGCACTGGTAGGATTGGGTTGGGGGGTTAGTGATGGGTGCGGGGAAGGATGATGTGGGGATGAGGGGATAGGGTATGAGGGACATACATTCCAGGCGGGCGTGCCGTAGTAGGATTCTGCGGCGTTATGGTATCCCTCGCCGTGGCGGCCGAGGAAGAGGACTTTGTAGGAGACGGTTGGTGGGGAGTGGTGGTTTAGGGTGGTGATGTGGTGGTGGAAGCGTTCCCATTGGGTTAGTAGGTTGTCATTGTCATTGTGGTTGTCGGAGGGGTAGGTGCGGTTGATGAGGCCGAAGTTGGTGGTTGTCTGGTCATATCATTAGAATAACAGTGGGTTAAAAAGAGGGAAGATTAAAGGGAGGGGAATGGGGTGGTACATAGTCGAATGTGGATGCGTCGGTGGAGGCCTCGTCTTGAAGAAAATAGCCGGTCACGGTGGTGTAGTTGATGTAGGAGGCTTGCGCGGTGGCTGTGAGAGCTATGGCGAGTGGTGCTATGCTGGAGAGCTTCATTGTAAAGAGGAATCAGTCACTGTAGGACTATGTGCTGAAGCTGCGGGATAGCAAAGTATCTCTCAGCTGGAGAGGGCTGTTATATAGCACAAGGTGGAGTGCCGACATGTCTGCATGATTGTTGCCGATGGACATGGCATGGTTGGCAGACGGCTAAACACCTACCAGTGCCGCACGTGCTGGGTGGTCGGACAGCTAACCGGCTTGGAAGCAAGCCAAGACATTAATAAATTAATTGAGTCAAGAAAGATGGAAAGGGAGAAAAATTCCAATGAAGCCAGACGGCAATGCTTTGCAGTCATCGCCCGTCCTTATTAGTTGTATTACAGTATGTAGTAGTGGTGGTATGGCAGTAGATACGTGACCCAAACAGGCCTCCAGTAAGTCCAAGAATGAAAGAAAAAGCAGCCGCTTCCCAAAGCCCACATGCTATATATCCAAAATAATATTCAAACATGTTCAATCCCCAACCCTGAGGAACCAGATCGCAGACCGGGGTAGACGCCAAAAGAGAGACACCAACACGAATGCATAAGAACAACACAAGCCCTGGGATATATATGGGAGTCCCAACTGAAGCAACACTGAATGCCAAGAAGAGCAGAGATCCACTCTGGTTAGACCACGGTCGAGAAGCCGGGCATCGAGAAAGGTATTATATTACAGGCCACCGAGAAATTTTGACTGGCGAAAGGAATGATACGTGCACAAAGTAGATGGGTTGGACGGTGCCGTGTGGCGCTCAAAAGTCGTTCGGCGTTTGATTGTTGAACGTATAGGCCTTGGGCTTCTGCGACGGAAGCTGCTGTGCAACAAACCGGTGAGCTTCCTGCTGCTCCGGGAACTCGTAGATGTGGAACTCCGTTTGCTTCGAATCCCCACAGAATGCAGCCGACGTCGGCATATCGACGTCACTCGTGTGATACACGAGGGAGGGAGACCCTGTCACAGGTACATGGTCGGGCCCCTGTTCCATCGCCTGCTCATACGACATCGTTGTCAGATCCGCCTGCGGAAGTTGGCAGGGGCTCTGAAAGGATGCTTCAGGCGACGGCATTGACGTGGCATCAGTCCAGCTTCTGCCCGTCAGGGGAGCCTCGCAGGAGGCGTAATCGGCGAATGACGTGTAATGGGCAGGGGCTGACATCGGAGGGGCAACACCTTGGTACGGGTAGGAAGAGAGCACATCCACGGCCAACGGTGTCGCGGGAGGTGATGCGATGTTGATCTGCATCGGCTGTGTGGTAGGGAACAATTGGCTGGTCGGTTGCGCCGACAGGCAGTAGCCACCGTCGCTGGGAGTGGTTGGGAGTAGATGGTGCAGATCTTCCGGTGTCAAGGGTGTTGGTGGCGCCAACCCCCCTGTCGTAACCGCAGGTTGTAGCATGGACGACATGTCAGCCTTGGAGCCCAGAGCCCCAGCCTCGGCGAAAGTAGACAGATTAAGAGGGGAACGCTGAGCTGCAGATGCTTTCCGGACACCCGCATATCGGGTGTTCAGACCCTGTGCAGACTTGGACTGCCTCACGCCATGGCTGTTGCCGTAGCTCGGGAGCCTCGTCGAGGGTGACATGGTGGACGATCCCGTCAACATCGAGGACGACCTCGAGGTGCCAATGGCAGCAGGCCTCGGGCGCTTTCTCCGGGCTGCAAGGTCAAGTTCCTTGCTGGGCTCCTTCCAGGATGAACGGTCGCCTTCATTCACAAGCTGCGAGCTGGGATGCGTGTTGATGCCAATCCCTTCCAATGTGTCGGCCAGCTCGTCAGAAGAGCCTCGCCTGGGCACCGACAGATCATGTTGCATAGGGTATTGCACACCGTTGTAGGTAACTTCAGCATCGCTAGCCGAACGGTAACCAGAAAGAGACTTTGACGCCTGAAGCTGGTGGGACCAGTCTTCATTCTGGGAGGGGTGGAACTGTACGTTTTGCATCGAGTCATGGCCGGCGTCATGTTGAGTGCCGTCCATGCCGGGCATCGTCAGCGACTCCCCCGACGTCACATACCCAAGAGCACCCTGAGAACTTTGCGACGTCCACGAGATGGCGTTCTGTGAGAAAGAAGAGCTGAGGTCACCCTGTCCATGTCTGCTGCTATCGTGACTGCCGCAGCGGTTGTTGGAGAAGGTTGTGGTCGGCGACACTGACCCATCCATGCTGGGGGATTGGCTGTTTTCGCCGTCCTGGCCATACCGGTCACGGGCAGCAACAGCGGCATTCAACGCCCGTTGCAGGGAAGCAAAGGTAGCCTCCCGTGCCGACTCGCTTCTGGTCTTCTGGTGCTTAGGTCGCGAGGACGAAGCAGCCGGCGTTTTTGTGCGCTCGGCAGTGTTCTCCACTGATTGTTTGGGGGTATCTTTATCGGTCTCATCCTTCGAGTCTTTGGCGTCCTCCTTCGAGTCTGAGCTCTCCGTGGACTCCGACTTGCCGCGAGCGGCCTCTTCGGCCTCGGCCTTGGCCTTTTGCATCTTCTCGAACTCTTCTTGTCTCTTTTGTTGCTTAGCCTTTGCTCGGCGATTCTGGAACCAATTCTGCATATAGGGTTAGTGATGTACCGAGTATTTTGTGAGCCAATGGATAACTTACAGCGACTCGTGGCAGGCTCAGATTGGTTTGAGCCGCCAATTGACGCTTAACGTTGCTGCTGGGTTTGGGGTGCGCCTGAAATTGGGCCTCCAAGGTCTCAACTTGTTCCTTCGTCAACCTTGGGCGAGAGAGGTTCTCTGCATATTCTTCGTAGTCCATGATTGGTTGGTGGTAGAAGTCGACCATGTCAAAAGGCGGGTGAGGGTAGAGGTAGCCATCCATTGGATGCATCATGGACGGGTGGGCCATCGTTGGGTCGAAGGCAACCGGCTGCTCCATGGGGACGGCGGCATGGCCGGTAAATGCGTAGGGGTGGTGGAGATAGTTCATGTTGTGCGAATCGGAGAACCAGAGTATATATAGAGATAGGAAGAAGGGTGTAGGAATTCGTCGGGGGTGTTGAGGTGAGGTGAGGCGAGTATGAAGGTATTCAAGGTACAGGACCAGTTGCTGCCAACAAGCCGCAGCTGTGACGAGGCAACTCTATACCATTGAACGGTTGAATCACAGAGAGAATATAGCTGGACTCAAACAAGCCAGGAGGAGGGGAAGGCGGGAAGATAAGGACTTGAAGCAGGAGGGAGAGGAAAGGGAGGAGGGCGGCGGCGGGTAGTAGGGAATGACGGGACTGAAGTAGGCGGGCAAGCTGTCTGGGGTGTATACTTGCAGCCGAGTGGAGTTATAAAGGAAATCCGATGTAGTAATGAGAGAGTGTGAGAGGTTGAATCCAGAGAGAGAGATATAGAGAGTAATTAAAAAGAGAGAGAGGAGGGGAACGAAGAGCAGGATCAAGGAAGGTATAAGTCCGATGAAGACAAGGCCGAATAGGACAGCACAGAAAGGGAAAAAGAAGGAATGAGTTGGACTAAGCTGACAGGGAAAAAGCAAGAAAATAAAAATAAAATAAGAATTAAGAAATTCAGAATAATAAAAATATTAGTTCAAAAGGGAAATAGTAGAGGGAGTGACCAAAATGGAAAAGGAGAGTAGGAGGTGAAGGAGAGAATTGAGTGAGAGGAAGACTGTGAGTGAGTGAATGAGAAAGAAAAGGAAAAAGGACAAAAGGGAAAAAACAAAAAAACGAGAGGACCCAGAAAGGATTGACAGTCAGTCCGTCAGAAAAGAGTAAACTAACACTAACTGGAGAAAAGAAAGAGCAGCAGCAGCAACAGCAACAGCAGCAGCAGGAGAGGGTTTGGAGGGACTGGATTTCGGGGGGAGGGAGTGGGTGGTGCTGGCAGCTCGCCTATTGGCTGACGCTGGATGGGGAGAGATTGGCGGCGGCAGCCTGCCCGGCAAGAAGGTGTGGAGGGGGCCGCGCTGATTGGTGATCGCCGCCCGGAACTGGCTGGAGGAGGATTTGGCCTGGACAGCTTTGGTATCAGGGCTGTATTTGCTCCGTACCGTCAGTTTGGGCGAACTCCCCGTGTCCCGCAGCGCTTCGGGCTTTCGTGTGAACGCTCACACACTCTCTTCCTTTCTGGCTTGTCGGCTACAGCACATCTCGGATTGGCTATTTCGGGTTGTTCCTCTAGACTGTCACTTTCTGCTTGTCACTCATTCTTTCTAATTTTCTTTTTCATTATTTTATCTCTCCCGCTTTCTCCTCTTTTCCCTGCAAAAGCCCCTCTTTGCAAAGTCACACTCTAATTCCCTTCGTCACAAAAAAAAGCTCGCAGCAGAAAACATACTACCCAAACTAGTAGTTACCTACCCATTCAGTACTAGACCCGTCTCGGGGAACCAAACCGTTACCAGGTACGGTATTAAACACCCAAGGCATCGACCGCCCAAAAATATTGGCCGACGGAGTGGGTTTCCTGGTGCTTCCGCCCGAGCGGTTCTAGGGGGTGGCGGCCTGGGCTCTCACACTCTCGGCGGACTCTTGAGTACGTACTACTACTATCTTGGGAAACTAACTAACTATCGTACTCACCTAAAAAAAACCACAAACTGAAATACTGTGTGGCTAGTGGTCTTGGAACTGGACGGGAAGGGGGCAGTAGATAGATGTCATTGATGTTTCAAAGGAATATACGAAGTTTTAGCTACTTGATATATGCCACACCTTATCTTAATTGTCCCAACTGGAAACAGATCCAGGATCTTCTCAGTCCCGCCGCCTTCCACAAGCAATGAGGGGAGGGTGTAACTAAGAGGCGCGCGCGCTTACTTCAAAAAATAAAATGGAAAAATAAAAAGTAGTGCGGTGGCGGCGGTGACTGTTTCTCCTCCTCTGGCGTCACTTTGAAAAAGAACATGCCTATGCCTGTATGTACTCCATAGGATCATATGTAGGTCCGACGGGTCCGCAACGCATGCTGTACCTCAGAGTGAGCTCAGTTGCTTTTTTCCCTTATTATCGTCAGACCCGTCACGGTGGTACTGCTGTACAGTAAAATCCAAAAGTTCGCTTTTTTCGTTCTTTTGCTGCTAGATTGTGGAAACAATTTCGTCACCTCGATTTACCCCAATTTTTTTTCGATTTAATTTATTTAGGTTTTCCATTTCTGTTCTTCTGCTTTTCTCTTCACAGTTCTAAAGTGATGGTCATCTTTTCTTTTCCTCTCTTCCTGCAGCTTTGACCTGTAAAATTATAATTCTATTTACTTTCCCTCAGGAGGGATGTATACTCCTTAATCATGCTCGGCAATTATCATCAAAGTTTTGGTCCACCGTATGTACCAAGGGTGCCCTGAGGGACCACAATTCTTAGTAAGTGAGAGTCAGACTGAGGAGTAAGTAGCAGAGAGGTAAAGACTAGAGATGCGTGGCCTCCCATTGGTTGAAGTGGATAAGCCACCCCCCCCTCTCTCATCCGCACAAAGCCCTCGTCGTTCATCCCAAATGCCAGCGCTTGCTATTTCCCACACAAACCAAACCTGAACCCCGGCAATGGCTTAAACGGCAGCAATTAAGCTCCAGTGACAACTTGGTTGACAGTCTCACATACTTTTCCCCCCCATGAACCATGATTCCAAACAAACCTGGGAAACAGCTGCGAGTTGAGTTGAACCCGGTCCCTGCTCCTACGGACTTTCGTCAGTTCCTGCATTAGCGCCACCAAAGCATCCAAAGCCGATTTTAGCTCTTCCCAGGGGGAAGGTTCCTTCTGGGCAGATCCGGGCAACTCAATGGCCCCGAGCGTGGCCACCAAGACACGCCGTCGGCAATAGTAGATTGTTGTTCACATCTCTTTCTTTCATTTTAATTATTTTCCTTGGGGGTGGAGGGGGCCCCAAGGGAGCGGGTTCTCCCACGCGGACGGAGTATCTAAGCTCTGCAACATCACGTCTTTCCCGACTGAGGAAAGCTTGCGCTAGAATCTCTCCTTCTTCACCCATGACCTCTTGACTCCCCGATCACGGCGGTCGGGGACCACGCCATCAGTGGGGCAAGTTCGTTTGAAAGGCGGCGCGAGAAAGTGAGCCATGAGATGGATCGCTGAGCCCACCGCCCACTTGGCTCATCCATGTCTCACGCCTTCTGGTGGCAGGCCGGGGGATCGCATGGCCACATCCTACTGGGCCAGTCTGCGATCACGGGGTGCTGGATGGGGAGAGAGTGAGAGAGAGCATCCAATGGCCATTCAGAGTTGTGGACGCCGACCAACGGATTAAGATTCACCGTACATATTCTGGATCCGGTTAGCGCCAGCGGTCCGAAGATCCCCAGCTTCCGATTGATAGTCCGTTCTTCTTACCCGACGGTTCCAACGACTCTTCACCACTCCCACGGGACGGCTTCGTGATACTCCAGTGGCCCGCCCAGTGAGATAAGGGGATAGGATAAACCACGCAGTTCATCAAGGTACGGAGTAGCATGGCACATCAGACAGAACTGGGGTTCATGAGGCCATGACGTGATCAAGTACTCCCTCCTGAGTCCTGAGAGACCCTCTTATCCACCCCCCACAGCCTGCCATGGCAATCGACGCATCCGACCATCACAATTGGTACTTTGCTCTCCTTAGAGTGTGTCAAAACAAAGAGAGGTGAAGCGGGGAAGGAGCTCCGACCAGCCGAAAGAAAGTCAGTAAAGTCAGTAACTCAGTCAGTCGATTTATGTCTTGACTTCGCCTTTCCCACACCTTCTTCCCCCATAATAGTCCCCATACCGGACGTACCAGATGCATTGGCCTTCAATTCCCGTATGAATGGACACCGTCCCAGTAACTCAATTGGCACGGATCTCTGCAAAAAATGCCTGTCATGCTTTTCCCGCAAGGTCCTTGGAACTCACGGACTTGCTATTCGCCAATAGGTAAATAATTTCTTTCTCTGATAATACCTTTCCTTCAGTGAATAAAAAAAAATTAATTAATTAAAAAGCGAAGGAAACACAAAAAGAAAGAAAGAGCCATCGGGAAGGACGTGAAGAGAGAGAGGGAGAATGAGAGAACAGACCGCGCCGGCTGCAAAAGCGTGGCAGCAGCTCAGCCAAAGACCCACCAAAACCAATAGTCGACAGATCCTCGTCGATCCGCCTCAGGGATCTGTCGATTGTCGAACATCTCTCACCTTTCCTTTTTCTTCCAATGCTCTCGGGATCCGACGATAGGACTCCCTTCCTTCCCCCCTCTCTTTCTCCCCACTCTGAGCGCCCTACACGCGTGAGAACTTTCTGCGAAATCCGCCATTCGTCCGTTTGAATTTCTGGCTTCTGTCAAACCAGGCCATAATCGACGCTAATCATGATTGTGGTTACAGACACAGGCTCACTCGCTCACTCGCTCGCCCCCCAAGTCACGAGATGACGCAGTAGTGATCTGCAATCTGCTCTCATGCAGCAGCAGAAGGACCGGGGGTCATTAATGCCATGTTAGGGGGGGATCTGGTCTGACGCTATCGTATGCGCTTCCCACAGGTCTCGATGGGCAACGAGAACTGTTGAGCCGAAATACATATGCATGCACGCATGCATGGGTATAATCTTTTGGTTCGTCTGTGAGCCTATTTCCTTCGTTCTCGCGACCGCCATGCACCTGGCCCCAGTGCGTCGACAGTCGGACAATGATGCTGGGCAGGGATGCCTCCAAGAAGAGGGCTCCAGTCTGGCGGAGCCCATAGCCTGACTACGACACACGCTGCGTTCCAGAGAAGTATCATCTGACTACAACCCGTGGGGAATGATACGAAGTAGGTGATAGTGGGAGGAGTAAGTACTTAGTAGTTATCTGAGGCCCAAGTGGAACCAGATAGATAGGGGGGCGCGGGAGAGGGGCCAAATCAATGGGGTATTTCCCATACCGAGTTTCGAGCGGTGCTAAAGTACATACTACTAACTACTAACTACGTCGACACACTCCGCACACGGAGTAATTATATTGGGCCGTCAATGCTGAACTACGAAATATGGAGTTCACCATGATTGAAGGGCAAGTACCGGGATTCCCTCTCCAACCAACCACGAATACGCACCGGGTCTCTCGGGTTCACGTGTATGTATGCAGCACCTTAAAAACAGCTTAAGCACATCGTACTGGGAACACCTTGCCACAAGCTGTCCACCCAACAGCAATGGCCCTGCAACAGATGGGCTCATGTCGCGTAACCTGACAACCCCTCAAACAAGCTCAGACCAATCAGCACAGGCGTATCCCGGCGTGGGCTCACGTCTCAGAGCTTGAGAACAGTCCTGGGCGTGCAACATGGTTCTCTTCTCAGAACAAGAATGATGATCTGACTATCTGCCTAGCCTGGCCTGGCTCCCTGTGAGGATCCACCACCACTCCCACCACCACCCGCACGGATCGCTTCCACCGCGATCCTCATAGGCTGATGGGATCTCACAGAGGGCCGTTGTCGCCCGAATGATAGAGGTCTCAAATATTGGACCCTGGAAGGGAAAACAAGCAAATACATGGGAAGGAAGCGAGCGAAAGGAAAAGAAGAGGGAGAAAAAGCAAGAAAAATCCCCGATGATCCTCGGTGCATGGGAGTGATGGTCTGTGATACCTGAGTGGAGGATGGGTGGATGGGTGGGTGGATGAGATAGTACACTCTGAAAGTGGAAGTCAGTGATGACCCCCCCGACCCCCAATCCTCCCCTGAAACTGGAAGCCTCGCTGAATATCCTAACCTGAAGTATACCTAGATGCTGATCAGGCTGGCCAGTGGGAGCCGAGTTGCTGGACCGGGGCCCCGATCCTCAATAGCATGGTATCCCCTGTCTGGGTATAAGGTTGACTTGGCACTGGGGGATCCTCCCCTATTGACGGCCGGTCGCCTGTCCGTAAGGAAAAACTTCCCTGCTTACATACCATCCGAACTCCATCTGCCCATCCCCCTGGGTCTGATCATTCCGTGGCAGCTACCCTCCGCTTGTCACATCTGGCCGGGATACTGTCTAGTGTGACAATCACCACCCGCCATGATCGTATCATTACTAACAGGGGAGGGAGAGGGGATGAGATTGTATTGCCCACTCCAACTTTCCATGCACTGGCTCGAGTTTAGTGCGATTGGAACCCAGCATGGCCATGCATATGTGGATATGTGGGCCTATCTGGGCGTCGATTGCCATGGCTTTCCTTTTCCCCCTCCGTAGTAGTGCCTTCTGCCTCATCACTAACTAGCTTACTCCGGCCACGCCGTGTTGAACGCGACGTTCAGCTGCGACACTCGACGCCACAGAGCTGAATCTGTGGCGGTGCGTTTTCGAGCGTCAGCCACATGTAGATCACCTAACTAGTGAGGGCCTCAGGCCCTAGACGATCTTCCTGCTAGTTAGTATCACCGGCCTGTCTTTAGGCGTTCTCCGAATAGCGTGACTGTCAGCACCAGGACTTGCAAACTTGACTCAAGATGACTGCTTCTGGGTGGACGGAACCCAAAATGCTTCACCGCGATTTGTCATGGCATAACAATAGCCTCTTCGATCGATAGGCTCTCAGCGAAGCCGCCACACGGCACTTCGATCTGCCTGCCTATTCTCTATCCTAATCTTGTTTAACTCCGTGATTGTGCCACCGTGCTCAACGCTCAGGGCGGCTAACTTCCCTGACGACCCCGTCATCGTGTTCCAGGTTCCCAGGTTCGAACCAGGGCTGACGGAGTGTGACGAGTTGGGTTGCTGTACAAGAGATCACATCGTTGTTGCCTGAGCTGCAGCAACGGTGAATGATTCTCGTCACGAGTGGGCTTCAGTTGACTGGCCGATCCACTTCCCTTCTCTCGCCGTCTGATAATCACTCTGCCTCTCATTGACTAGTGATACAGTGTAATACCCATAAGCACCGCAAACCAAAGTCTCCTCTTTCCAACCAAAATGGCAAGAAGGGGGAAAAGCGTAAAAAAGAAAGGTAAAAAAGAAGAAAAGATGTGACTCCACCTCCTCCATCACAGCACACTCCCGGAAGGCCTACACCATCCCTTGCATAGGGCGTCAGACGCAGCTTGAGGGAGAGGGGATGGGCCAGATGCACCTCGCTGGGCCATGGACGAGCTCAACTCGATCTCCGGCGCCGAAGCAGCAGGGATCGCGCCGATCGAAGTTCGCCGTCGTCAAGTCGACCCATCTCTTTTCCAGAATCTGATCGCCCCCTTCTCTCAACGAGGCGATCCTCTTCGGGTCTGCGATGTGCAACCGATTCCCGCCACTATTGCGAGTTTTCTTTTTCGTTCCCTTCCCCCTGGAATCTGCAATTGTGCTGCTGGCTCGTGTCCTCCGAACGGGCAGCCGCCGCTGGGTGGCCCCTACTACTGTACAGGATGTATGCACATAGGGGATTCCGTCCTTTTGGCACAATCGGTTTGTTTCGTGTTGTTTCGCCACGTCTCATCCTCTCACACACATTTCTCTCTCAGATCATCTTTTGGACCGTGTGTTTCGGCCACCTACGTATTCCCAGAAGACCTAGGTGCAGTCGTAATGTTCGGGAGGTTCCTAAGTATAACCATTGCAGCAGCCACTATGCAATAAGTCCCAGCTCTGCTATGGCCACTTCGCGTTACCTACTCAGGTACTACTGGCTTGTCTGCCTACTTACCTATTCTTCCGTCCCGCGCGACGGGACCCAGAATCCCGGAAGTGAAAAAGAAAAATAAAATAAAATAAGAAAAAGAATGCGAGAATAGACAGACCTACTTCCAGCAACCCCATTCGGTTCGGGAGGAAAGAAACACTCGAAACTTGTCGGTGAGAGCAACCCAGGTCGGTGACCAGCAACCCACCGCGCGCAGCCGTTTAACTTAATCTTCTGATATATTGCGCTCGGCTTTCCGAAAATGCCTCAGCGGATGAGATCTGTCACGACAGGGCGAGCCAGTACCAGAGAAGCGGTCTTGAGCTAAGTTGACTTTCGCCGGTGTGGAACTGCACTGACGGTCTTGTCTGTTCCTAGGGCTGTTGTCACCGACATGCATACATACAGTATACTTGGTATACTTGCGTACTTACAGTAGTTAACCAGTCTATTATTCGCCCGTCGAAAAAAGGCTGGCTGGGGTGCTCCATACGGAGTCCTCCCCGGATTGTTTCTCCATCGGAGCTGATCTCTGAGCTGAAGCTCTCTACTCTCTTGCCACTTCCTACTTTCGGGTCCGTGAATAGTCTACCTAGTCTTGCTTAGTACCTACCTACCAAAAAGCAAAGCGGACTCAATGATCTGCTGCTGCTTCACCGCTAGCTAACTATCTAGCATGGAGCTTCCCTCTTTTACTTTTCGGAGGGTCTGTCTGCTTGCCTGCACTGTGCTTACTGTAGGTACAGCTTCTTCTTCCCCCCGGCACTTACTACTTACTAACCTGTCTACTGTACGAAACTACTTACGACCCGACACTAGTCTGTCATGTCTCCTTGGGAGTTAGACAGACGCACGGAGAGTATTCTGCTTACTTACGGAGTACATGATCTACTTAGGTGCCCTCTCTTTGGGGAATGGGGGACATTGGCGCTACGCTATGTGTTATGTACCAACCTGCAGACAAGCAGCAGCAACAGCAGCAGCACTAAAATCCATGTTCCACAAGACAGACGACAAGCTCTACTGTATACTCTATCTCGAGCTAAGCTAAGGTAAGGGTCTGGTGAGTAAGAAGATAGTCCATCACATCACAGACAGACAAGCGAGCAGTCAACACGGCACGGAATACTCTTTAAGATTTCCGGTGTGAGACATACAGCTTTCACTGTCACTACTCTGTATACCACTTACATATCCCGACCCGTACTGTAGGTGAATAGAGATGCCTACTACTCACATCCAGTAGTTACCACTCACTCTAGATAGACAGACACTTACTACCTCCAAAACTGAAGACTAAACTACCAGTAACTATGAATATCACCATCACTTCTGTGGCTCTCCCCACTTTAGACGCCAAAAAGTCCCCATCTACGTAGTTAGTCGATTTTTGGTTATTCGAATTAATTACTTATCTTCCTCATAACTAGTATGTACTTGACCACAGGTAAAGAGTCGTAGTTAATTAATACCACCCAAATGAACCCATGAATTTGCCTCCACTCTCACTTTCCACAACAACCAATTAGTTGACTCAAGTAGAGTAGAACAAAGTAAGTATATCAAAGCAAAACATACACATATATTCTCCCCAAGCCCCATCTATCTATACATAACTACAATCATCCACATCCAAAAACCACCTCCCAAATCTAGTACTACATATGAACAATCAACCAACCAACCAACTTATCTCAGACCGATACAGAAATCCTACAACAAGAATCAGTTCGATCTAGATCACATCACACCCAACCCCACCGTTACGATTTCAAGCTTTGGGGGGTGGTGGTATCTGCAATTTCTGCGTTGGGTTATATGTGGAGAGAAAGGTAGGATATTCAAGGGACGTACGTACGTACGTACGTTAGTTAGTGGCATGCAAGGTAAAAAGGAATCGAATGGAACGGAACGGTAGTGAAGGGTGAAAAACGTTGGGGGGGTTGTTTGGGTCGCTCTGGTGATGGTGGATGAGATGAGATGAGATGTGTCATATTTGGGGTACGTACGATAAGTAGTAGTTTACTATGTGATCGACTAGTTGCGTTGTTTGTTGTTGGTGGGTAGTGATTAGGTAGGTATGTATGTATGTATGTAGGCAAACGGTTCTTCACTGGTCTATCTAATGGTAACTTGACTTACCTCAAGGTAAGTCAAGTAAGTAGGTATCTGTCTATGTACAATCGAGGGTTCTGTCTAAGAATCTTCGTAGTAGACTGGACCCCGATACTGTGACCCGCACACAATAAAGGGATCAAAAATCAGGCTAAATGTCAATCGAAATCAAGGAGGTGGATAAGAAGAGCATGGATAAACCCAAAAGGTAAAAAGGAAGGAAGATGCCCGCAATCTATTGGATCCAAGCTTTCGTCGACGGGTTTCCAGAAACCTCCTCCACCTGGAGTTCAAAGTTCAAAGTGAATCCCCTTTATTGGAAGGCGTTCCGGATTTCCAACTGCATCTGACCATCGACCACGCCCTTGATGCTGATGCTTCTCAGATCCTCGACGATCCAGTCGGCACCGGCTTCCTGGAGCTGCGCAAGCGTGTGGGTCGTCGTGAGCGCAATGACTTTGAACCCGGCCGCCTTACCAGCCCTGATGCCCGACGGCGCATCCTCCAGAACTACCAGAGACGAGGAATGCTCCAGACCCAGGCGCGTCCGACCAAGCAGATAGCACCGGGGGTCAGGCTTGCCCAGCTCGACATCTTCCGCCACCACCAATACCTTGGGGTGGGCGAGGTTCAGCACGCCCAGCCAGCCGTCCACCAGCGCACGCGTTCCAGAGGTTACCACGCCCCAGCGAGCGCCGGCGTCGTCCAACGCTGACATGAAATACCGCGCCCCGGGAATCTCGACGGCGTCCGACCCGTATTCCTTCGGGATGCGACCTTCGATGTAGCTGACATCTGGCGGTTGAGAAAGCAACTGGTCAGTCTGCTGTATGCTGTATGTGGTAGATGGACGATAAGGAAGAGTTGTGGTGGTGATGGTGGTGGTTTCAGGTTGGAGTTTCTCAATCGAACTGCAGAGTGTCCAGAGGAATACACTTACACTCCCAATTGGCCTTCTTCGGGTCGTACAACTGGATCGTGTCGATGCTGCGGCGGCCGTGGGAAGTGGCCAAAATGGTCTTGGGGTCAACGCCCAACTCCGCACCGATTCTGCAAGTGATAGTTAGGACGGATGGCGTTTGGTTACACGGAGGGAGGTGGTGGGGACGAACTTGTGCCAGTGTTTCACAATCGCTAAAGGTCAGATGTCAGTGCATGGTTACAGAGGAGGGGTATGTGGGAATGAGGAGGGGGACTGACCATCGGTTGAGTCGACGATAGTGCCGTCAAAGTCGGAGAGTAGTCCGTCAAAAGTGTGGACTTGCGGAGGGGCAGAGAAGGAGCCGGATGGTCTAGACATGATAATGGCGGGGGAAGTAGGACAGAAAAATCCAGGGCCAACGCAAGGTGGGGGTGGAAGGAATGGAGGACAACTCAAAGGATGTGAGTAAATAGATGTAAGGAGTGGACACAGTCAGCACCGCCAGTCAGCAAAAGGAGGGACAAAAGGGAAAAGGAACGGTGGGTTTCAGGCTTCAGGCAGAAGGAGTGAATGAGTTGGTAAGTCGTGAGAGAGAGTCAGTCCAAAGGAACGAACGAATGGCAGCGCCGGATATCCATAGTCTGTAGTAAGAAAGTATGCCGGTATTACCGGAGATCGGTGTTTCATTGTGCCGGTTATCTTAGCGCCTTGCCGCCGAAATCTTCTTGGCGGCACAAAATTGTTCGGGCGGATCAGAGCGAGTCTCTGTGCTTTGGATCGCCTTTTTGCTCAGAGACGGTTTAGGGGTTATTAGGCAAGATGGTCAAGCTAGGTATGTTCGCTTCATCGGTATCGCCATTGTCCTTTGCTAACCCTTCCTCCAGGCAAAAACTCCAAGCGGGTTCCCGTCCGCCTACGACACAAGATTGAAAAGGCCTCCGCGGCCAAGCAACGCAAGCAGAGAAAGCTTGCAAAGAAGGTACACCACTCCTCTTACACGTTTCTGCATGGTTATTGGCCATACTAATGCTGCTTGTAGAACCCCGAATGGCGCTCCAAGATCAAGAAGGACCCCGGTATCCCCAACCTGTTCCCGCACAAGGACAAGATCCTCCACGAGATCGAAGAGAAGAGACGCTTGAAGGCGGAGGAACAACAGCGCATTCGCGATGAGGCCCGCGCTCGTCGCCAGGCTCAGAAGGAGGGTGGCGCTGAGGAGGATCCTGTTGATGCCAATGTCATGATTGATGAGGACGATCTGATCGACGACGATATGGACGAGGATGTCGGTGACTCCTCGAACCCCATGGCGGCGCTGCTTGCTTCCGCCCGTGCCAGAGCTGCCGAGTACGAGGAGGAGCACTCCGATGATGAGGACGATGAAATGGATGAGGACGACTCCGACGACGAGGATATGGACGAGATGGACCAGGACGAAGAAGGCGGTGCCAGCCTGGACGTCTCCGCCCCGATCACCCAGAGCACTTCGAAGGAGAGCTCGCGACGGGCCTTCGACAAGGTCTTCAAGCAGGTCATTGACAACGCCGATGTGGTGTTGTACGTTCTGGATGCCCGTGATCCCGAAGGCACTCGGTCCAAGGAGGTGGAGCGCGAGATCATGTCCGCCGACGGAGGCAACAAGCGATTGATCCTGATCCTTAACAAGATCGATCTGGTTCCTCCTCCGGTTCTCAAGAACTGGCTGATCCATCTGCGCCGCTACTTCCCCACGCTGCCTCTCAAGGCCTCCAACGGCTCGGGCAATGCTCACAGCTTCGACCACAAGCAGCTGACCGTCAAGGGCACCTCCGAGACGCTCTTCCGCGCGCTCAAGTCGTATGCGCACAACAAGCAGATGAAGCGGTCCATCTCCGTCGGTGTGATCGGTTACCCCAACGTCGGCAAGTCGTCCGTCATCAACGCCCTGACGGCCCGTCTGAACAAGGGCTCCAGCAACGCTTGCCCCACGGGCGCCGAGGCCGGTGTGACCACCAGCCTGCGGTCCGTGAAGCTGGACAGCAAGCTCAAGCTGATCGACTCCCCCGGTATTGTCTTCCCCAACTCGAGCGACAAGGCCAGCAAGAAGAAGAAGAAGCAGGAGGAGCACGCGCGTCTGATTCTCCTGAACGCGGTTCCCCCCAAGCAGATCGAGGATCCTGTTCCCGCCGTGTCGTTGCTGCTCAAGCGCTTGTCGACATCGGACGACCTCATCTCCAAGCTGCTGCAACTCTACAACATCCCCCCGCTCATCCCGACCGGTGGCGACCAGACACACGACTTCCTGGTCCATGTGGCCCGCAAGCGTGGTCGTCTCGGCAAGGGTGGTGTGCCCAACATCGAGGCTGCCGCCATGACGGTGATTAATGACTGGCGTGATGGACGTATCCAGGGCTGGGTTAACGCCCCTGTGCTGCCGGTAGTGACCACGGCAGAGGGCGCAGCGGCGCCGGCGGAGGGTGTGGACACGAAGCAGATTGTGACGGAGTGGGCGGCAGAGTTCAAGATTGAGGGATTGTGGGGCAATGGGGAGGATGATGAGATGGCCGAATAGATGTTTTTCTCATGGATACCAGGCGTTATGGTTCTTAAAAGGTAGATAGTGTCAATTGCGATGAACATATACCGGACCAAGTTAGTATGTCAACGATAAGCAGTAATGCAGAAGTAATTTATGGGATAATTCGTTGGCATTCATCTGTTAGCTCAACAGTGTATATGCAGCAAGTTCAGTTATAGTACTTACTAGCAGTATAGTAGTAGTTTACCAGGTTCAGTTCCAACATTGAGCAGCGTAGAGTTATCTGGCAGACCAAAATATATATTTGAATGGCACTTCATACCAGCACACGCACCACATTAACCTCTTCATCTCAACTAAAGCAATAAATATAAACAATCAATAAAACACATCCAAATCACCAACAACATAAAACAATCACCAAACCCTAACTCAATACACATCAAACTAACTACCAACATACAAAGTTAGTAACGTACGTAGTTGCAGAAAAGAAACCTTATCACCACCCACCCGAAGCGATACGATACGATAATCCCCCCGATCCACACGCGCCGCTCCTCCGCGTTTCTGTCGCGTCACAATCCATTTCTGCACAGGGGGATTTTTTTTACGAACCAACATCAATCACTCACTCACCACGATACCCCTTCCATTCTCTATATATTTTTGCTTCACCCACACGATTGACGACCAACCAAAAAACAATAATAACGAAATCAGAAGTACAGAAAGAACAAAAGGGAAGGAAAGAAAGAAAGAAAGAAAGGCACCAACCATGCCCCGAAAATCCACCAGCAGCAGCACCCCCGGCGACGACGGCGGAACAGCAGAACAACCCCAAATACACTCTCAATCCCCCTCAGATATCGTTCACCTTCCCGAATCAACAGGACAGATGGTAGAAGCGACAGAACAACAACTTAAGGCGCGGGCCGAAGGGGGTGTGAGTATTGAGGTGTGTTATATCCATCCCTTCCTCCCTCTTTCATATTCGAAACATATATGTGACGGATATTATAACCAACATATACTGATGGGAAATTGTGATAATAGGACTACCTCCTCCCCCGCTCCCTCACCCTCCGACTAGCAAAATCCGTTCTTCCGCCGAATACATCCATACAGAAGGATGCGGTATTGGCGATTCAGAAGGCCGCGACGGTGTTTGTGTCGTATTTGTCGTCGCAGTATGTTTTTCCCCTGCACCTTTTACAACTTTCTGCATTCAGGAGGATAAATGTCTAATCTGGGTGTGGTGTATGTATAGTGCCAACGAAGCAACTCTCAAACGAACCGTCGCCCCGTCGGACGTCTTCAGCGCCATTTCGGAACTAGAGTTCGATGGATTCCGCACACGACTGGAGCAGGAGTTGGAGGCGTTTACGGAGTTGAAGGCGGGGAAGAGGAGGGCGAAGAAGGGGGATACTAGTACTGCTGCTGCTGCGGCGGAGGGAGTGGGGAAGGATGCTGAGGAGGAAGAGGAAGATGGGGATAGAGGGGTGAAGAGGGTGAAGCGGGCGGAGGAGAAGAAGAATGGTATTGGTGGTGGTGGGGAGGAAGAGGAAGGGGATGAGACGCAGGAGGAGCATGAGCAGGAACAGGAGCAGGATGATGAAGAGGAAGAGGAGGAGGAGGAAGAGGAAGAAGAGGACGACGAGGAAGAAGAGCACAAGGATGATGAGGAGGATGAGGAAGAGAATGATATTGATCGGGTGGAGGATTTGGATCGGGCGAAACGGCCGATGAACCCGGATGTTGAAGGGGATGAGTCGGACAGTGAGGATGAGGATGGGCCGGGGAGTCAGTTGCGAGGGGATTTGGGACTGGGTTAGATTGTGTTTCATGATGATTATGTGTGTATGGTATGGTATATGTCTTGTCTCTGTTTACGGCTGATGGTTATGCGGCAACGAAATGGTTTGTTGCATGATATCACTTCTACTCCATATCCAATGTACAATGTGTTGATACCCAATTCAACTTCATCACAACCAGCTGCTCATTATATTCACCACATGGGGACTCCTTGAACTCCGCACTCACAACACCCACAAAGGCTTGCCTATGTTGTACAATCATTGGTGCAGTTGACGCCACAAATCAGAAGAGTACCCAAAGGACTCCAGCCAGCTATATATAGCTGCTGCTTGAAGCAGTGAGGTAAGCCCGAATGACATCTTCATTATCCCACCCAAACGCCATGTCCCATAGTCTATCATTGGTATCGCCATTAACTGAAATTGAAAAGACTCCCCAGGAAGGCCTTAAATGTAAAATAATAGTAAAGGAGAAGGAAAAGAAGAAAAGAAGACGGGAAGACGCGCTGACGCAGACCCGAGCTGAGTCATGCGGTCGGCTCATTCAGTAACAGATTCATCCCTCGGGGAATAGAGTCAGGAGAGATGGTCTCGTTCTGTCGCCACCGACCGCTTGGTGGAGGAGTAGAGGCACCCTTGCCCACCACTTTGGGGAACGTCTGATTCGGCCCGTTGTTGCGAGCAGCGCCCGGAGCCAACGGATGCATCGCCTTGGTGTCGTCCTTGTCCAGCTTGGTCGACTTGTCACTTGTGGCGGCTTTCTGAGCCTTGGTGACCCTTCCGAAATTGTTGATCTTGGAGTTCTTCGCTGGCTCGGCCTTCTTTGGTCGTCCTTTAGGCGCAGCCTTCTTCGGAGCCGCTTTCTTCGGAGCAGCCTTCTTTGGCCCATCTGTCTTGGCCGCCTGCAGCACATCCGTAATGCTCCGTCCATTGCTGGCGGGGTTCGGGCGACCTTTCTTCGCCAAGGGTTTGGATTCATCCTCGTAACTCGACGATGGAGTAAGGAAGCCTGTCGGAGTGGGTCGTTTCTTGCTGGGGGTGACAACCACCGACACCTCGCCTTGTTCCTTCTTCACTCGTTCCACTTCCGAAGAATTGCACTCATCAAACACGTCGTCCTGTGCATCCCACCGCTTCAGATTGGCCAGTCGCGCAACTTCCTCACAGTCGCCCTTGACCATTAGATCCCAGCAGTCCTCAAACTCCTTGCCGGTGGGGTACTCATTGTTGATCCACATGGTCACTCCGTTACGGCGACTCCGGATGACGGAGCAAAGACTCTTTACCAGGCGACGCACTCCGGGGATCTTCAGACTCGTACCGACCACAATTAGGGCGTCCGGGCGAGAACGGATGTCAGCATTCATGACGGAAGTGATGGCCTCCTCGTCCGGGTTGTGCTCGTTGTACAGAACAATGCGAGGTCTCATCTTGCCGATACCATGGCTACGTTGGCCGGTTTCCATACGGAATTGATTGTTACGGCAGCACTCCGGGCATTCAGGGGCATCGGGACGATCAAACAAGCCCGCATCGAAGTCACTCAGATGTCGACATTTCTGGCAAACCATCTTGTCAAGACTGCCATGCAATTGGATGGTGCGTGGCCAAGGCGCTTTGACGTTCAACGGGATCTGCGTGGCCAACGGAGGCATTGAGGTCTCAATGCCATCGATGTTTTGTGTGTAGAGACGAGTGAGACGGTTCTCCTGGCCCAGTCGCGCCAGCATGTGGTGGAAAGCTGTGGGAGAGGTCTTGGCTGCTTCCTCGGACAGCGACCGTACCATGTCCTGGAAGGAGGCGGTCAACGCCTCATCCTGGTAAACGGCTGCATCGAACAAGAGCTTGCCCGATGCTTTGAGGTTATGTTTCTTCTGCAAAGTCTTAAAGAGACCGTCGGTCGAGCGGAAATCAGGAACTATGATAGATTAGAAAATACGAGGAAAAGAGGCAAGAGCGGACAGTCGCGTAGTGGTGACAGGATCAGGAGTGGGGATGGGAAAGCATACTTCCTGCGGAGGTGGAGATACCCGCACCGGCGATGACGACAATTTTGCGGTGACGCTGAATCGTTTTGACGAGATAGTCAATTTGCGACTGCTGTTCAGTGTAGGACAGGCCGGCGGTGGCCGACAGGTCGAGATGCTGAGTTCGGCGTTCTTTGGGGGCGGCGACCCGACGCTTCTTCCTGGCGGGCGGCAACTCGTCTTGGCTGCGGGCGGCGCTAGGCTCATCCGCGTCCTGCGACGGGGGCGGCGACGGATAGAAACCTGGCGGTGCCAGTGGTGATGCCGGCGCTGAGCTTAGACTCGAGCAATCCGAGTCATCGTCCATGCCTAATGACGCCAGAAGGCTTTTTGGAGACGAGCGGGAGGAGTTGGTGGTGGAGTGTGTAGTAGTCGTGGTAGTAGTGGTGGTGGTAGACGAAGTGGTGGCAGTACGACGGGGCGCCATTTAGGTCAGGCCGTCGCGGTGACGAAGTAAACAGCGAGCACAAAGAGTTCGGGGGGAGAAAAATTGGATTCGAGGGTGGGAGGGAAAAGACTCAAGGAGGGCTCGCTGTTCACGGAAAGCTGGAGGGGATCAAAGCTAGATATCGTCCCGAGAGAAAACCATGGAGGACCGGAAAAGAAACGGAAAACATCAATTGACAAGTGGAAATGACGGTAAGGGGGATAATTTCGGACAGATATTGCTTCTTTGTTTTCCCCTGTCGTTCACGTCTGGCTCCCTGACTTCGGGCGGAGGTAGTAGCGAGAAGGGAGTTGGGTGGAAGAAGAGGAAGAAGAAGAAGAACGACGAAAAGAAGACAATGGAGACAGATGAAGAAGAAGAGGAGGAATGGGCAGCACAGGAGGAACCACCCCGTGACTGGGACAGCGCAAGTCTGGGTCGAGGACAGCAAGTGGTGAGGTCAAGTGGAAAACGGATGGAGAGGGAGAGCGAAGGAAAAGGGCTACTAGTAGCAAGCCAGCACAACTAGAATGGACTGACTGAACTGCTGCTTGGGAGTGTTGCAGCAGGTTCGACGGCAGGCCGGTCAGATCCTCTCGCTTGCAGTGTGTTTATTTTGACCCACGGGTATCGCTCGGGAAGAGTCGATGAAGGCTCTGCATCAAAGAGGGCTAATGGGGAAATGGGGGGGTTTGAGGTAGAAGGAGAGAGGGTTGAGCTGCTGCAAAAACACAAACTCGGGCAACGAAGTGGTATGCTCAGAGGAATGTGTCTGGAAACAAGAGGGGTAGATAGATATGATCGCGTGTTGATCAAGTTGGGATGAATGCCGGTGGGAATGATGATATTGCTCTACTACACCTAAATTTACTAGTGTTTGGGACATGCTACTATACTGCTATGCTACTAACACACACTTTGATTGCCAGTTACATTACATTGTTACGGGGTTGCAGTGACTATTGGGAATTTTCCCGTATCAACCCTGTATGGATAGCCCGGTGGGGGCTGGCTTTTGGGTGCATTTGGGGTTTACCTCGTCTCTTTTCTCCTGCAAATTCGGTTTTGTGCTGCCAATCTCGTTACCGATCCCGTACCGCGCTAAAGGGGGCTGTCGGCCTGGGGAGCTTCTTCCATTGGCCGTGGAAGCTTCACCCAATTCTCCGGCCAACCACAGCCCAAACATATACTTGCCCGTGCGAGGCAATCCTCACCATGTCTTTCCCACACATTGGAGAGCTGTCGGAATGAACAAAGAGGTCGGGTATGCCTTTGGTTTAGTGAATGTTCCCTAGCACAACCTGAGTGGGCTCGGCTGCAGTTATTAGAATCCCACATCGCGACCGTCACTCGCACTAGCCGGCCTCCGACTATCGTTCCGAATCCGTCGCGTCAAACGCTACGATTGTTGGGAAGGCTGAGCGTTTATTTCATAATCAGCAACCAGGGTCACAGGGATACCTTACGTATGCTCGTCATCTCCTTGCGGGGCTGACCCTCTGCCAGTAGATTCCGTGATAGAATTATCGTATAAATCATGAACCTATACTGGAATCATTGCTGCCTTTACCATGGCATTGATATTCACCTTTTGTCTGTGTGATCGAACCGGACACAGCATTATCCACGGACGGACCAGCGCGGGGTATCGGATGAAGCTACCAGTCAAAATATGCTTGAGGCATTTGTCGGAAAGTGCGGCGCTGTTCTAGTAAGAACTGGCATGATCCGGTTTTTCCAGGCTGCCGGATCTTCCACGGACTTTTGTTCCCCGCACCTGTATTATTCTTAAGTTGCGTTCTCTGCAATCTGAAGAGTGAACTTGAATGTAGATATGTTTAATTGATGAGATGTATTTGCTAGTCACCACCGAGCTCGATGTAGGAGTTGCGTCGGTTATGTTCTCCCACATCATCTGCCGGGCCTCGTGTTTCTTTCTCCGTCCGATCAGGCGCTCATCTTGTTGCTAGCAAGCCCACTGTAAGACTGCACTATGACTGCAATTCAGAAAACATCTCTGCTATAGAGGAAGGTGCTATGATTTCGGCTTGGTTTGCAATATATCATCCGTCCGAGATGATCGGACGTTGTTTGCGGGAAGGTGGATGATTCGACAAGTGAGGCGGGTTGAGCCCCGCTCTTTAAACGGTCTTCTTCTCCATCTTGAACGATGCAATAGACGCTTCTCTCGGATGACATGTCTTCCAGCCCACGAATTAGGGAATGGGATAGCATTAGATAGCTCATATTCATTACTGTAGTAAGGAACCATCACGCATCATGCCCTTCCGTATCTGGTCCGAACATGTTTCTTCACAATGCCCTTGATGGCTGTTTTTGCGACTTTTATTTCCGGAAATCCCCCAGTTCACGGAATTATGACGCAGTTACTAATAGACAGTGGTACTGTATCTGAAGGGTACAGCTGCAGCTGGCATTGGTGAGCAAGCGCTTGGTTGTAAGCCGACCGCAGACCTCAAGCAAGTACTAGTGTTCCAAGGAGTAGTCATGATAGGGTTCACGATTGACGTATATTGGCGGGAACTATAGGGAATATCTGCACGGTCGCCTAGCACAGACTTGGCCTATTGACAACTCCTTTGTTTTACATAGTATCCCCCGGTGCTAGAATGGCAACTGCCACAAGGTGGTCAAGGTGGTCGTGCAGCTCCTGGAACTTCCCTCCAGCAGCGAAGTTCAAAGATGGATCTCGCCGATATCGTTGCGCCCATGGCTGGTGGGGCCGGTGTGATTGGTTGTCCTGGTTACGACAGCACATGACCTCACATGACGCTGACTAAGAGGCGCGGAGAGCTCCACCTGACCACTAGTCCCGAATAATGAAACTATCATCTTGGAGAGTCAACTTAGCCCATGATCATCCTCCCGGCCAAAGGGTAGCGTCTGGATCCGGGGTTTGAATGCCATGAGGGTTCTGTCTGCTATCAACTAAGCCCTTTGTATATCATTCAGTGCCCCTCTGTGGCTACACCCCGCCCATCTTACTGCGCAATTGCCTGCCGAGGTTCAATTGTATCGAACTATGATATCTGAGTCTTGCGATCACTGGCCTCCCAAGACATTCTACTACCCCCATTGGATTTAGAGCTTCGCACCCCACAATGCCCTTAATGATGGACGATAGTATCAATGTTGACGATCTCTTTGGTGAACCCACCTCCCTCGAGCTGGGCCTGCCACCATCGGCTTCTTCTGCCAGAGGCCTTGCCCAGCGTCTGGATGAGATGCGACTGCTCGGCTGTTGCCAGTAAGTTACTGTTTTCTGGTGTGTCGCGAAACCAGCTTGAATCTGTCGGCTAATCTTGTTCAAAGGAAGATTGCATGGTCCAAACTGGGATGTATTGCTTACATCTCACAAGACTCCTTGAGGGTGAAAGTCCGCCATCTGCAATGTCGACCGTCGGATGGCAAGTGGGTGCTCAGCGATGAGACCCCCTTGATGCCAATCACCGAAGCGCACGGCGGGCAAGCTCTCACTCACCTGAGTTGGAACGAAGCTGGCTCCGATCTGGCCGTGGTCGATGTGACTGGACGTGTCTCAGTCTATCACATCCCTTTCGCCCTCAACAGTGTTAACGGCCTTCGACAGCCGGCTTTTTCTCCCGACGATGGGTCTCAGATTGTTGGCATGATGTGGCTGAACACCCAACGATCCGTATGTCGATCTGCGAACCACATCTATCTCTCGATGCTAATCTTCTTAGGTGCATGCATTTTATCAAGCAGCCAAAGTACAGGGTCGCTGGGCTTACTCGCCGTTCCGTCGCCGTCCAATAGGTCCGTTTCACCCTGCAAATAAAGCGGCACTGCTATGCATCACACGTTCTGGATCAATGAAGCTCTTGTACCAGAATCCGGACGGCAGATGGGATGACATCTCCGTGGATCTGAAGAGCACAAGCTACTCAGATCGGTTGCTGTCGCATGCTGCTTTGGTAGCAACCCAGAACGGGATCCTTGTCGCTACTTACTCGATATGCCAAAAGATCCGCTTTTATCGGGTGCAGGTCAACTGGAACCCGCCTCAATGGGACCCTGCACAACAGCCAAAGCAGACGCCACCCCAATTCCCAGTCCCTAGCTTCCGTTTCACGCACTCTAAGGTGGAAACGTCATGCACAGTACCTGGGATGCCTCGGAATGACGGAGAAGAACCCGACATGATGCAGCAGTCGGTCTCAAATCCTCTTTATAGCCTCAGTCGCCTTGATATAATACTCCCGGCCTCCGACAACGCTGCTGGGACTACAGCGAACCCATGGATTGTTGCGGTTTTCTCAACCCCACCACAAGCTACTCCAGATCATCCTGGCCCGCAAGGACCAGCAAGTGTAATTGTACGATGGCAATTGGATACTGCTGCTTTCACCCTTCACCCCAAGTTTGATGAAATGGCCACAAAACGAAACAGTACTCAGATGAAGGTACGTGAAAGTTATCAGTACTTCATACAGACCGCGCTGACTCTCTGAACAGCCTAGGCCTGTACTGCGTCGCTTGGAAGACATCTATTCTGACCGCTATGTCATATCGGTGGACCAAATCGAGTACGGCAATGTGGTTGCTATCACTTACGATGATAGCTCCGTGTCTTTCTACGACCCGAAAACCATGGCATTGTTCAATGGTGTTGATGATGCGAATACGGTGACGGGCCTAGCTCAAGCAGGGTTTCACTATGCCCCAGACGCCTCAGGTTGTAGTGCCTCGTATTGTCGCCCTGGAATGTTACTAACCGTGTTCTGATAGGTCAAGGTCAACACGTCTCTTTCTCACCGAGCGCATGCGCTGCAGTCATGCTAGACAACGACGGCCAGACGCACCTCAGGGTTATGGAGCATTCTTACGGAGCCGAAAACGGTCTTTACGATGAAAGTGCGTTTTTCCTTACTACCAGCTCAACTATCTGCTAATAAGGTTTCGAACTTGGCAGACAAATTTTCTGCAGCCATTGCATCACTCACATTAGCCTTCTGCCGCGGATGTGGAAGTGAAGTCAACACAGACGATATCCTCTTAATTTTAATACAGCAACTCTCACAGGGTTAGTACCAACCTTCATTTCCGTCGATCATCAATTCTAACGCATGCTACCAGATGCCCAAATCACGTTCATCAACGAAGTTTACCGCGCACTGCCCATCAACTGCAATTTCACGGTGGAGCAGGAAAAGCTGATGAACCACCCCTATATTCCCAAGTGCCTCAGTATACAAGCTGCTCTGGGATTTGCCAATAAGTACAAACCACGAAGTTTTGCCTCTTCTGTCTCTTGGTCGATTCTTCAGCTTCGCCACGCCGCCATTTTATACCCATTTTTCTTTCAGTACAACAAAGGGATTCAGGCAGAGCCACATGATCCTGGTAAGTCAGTCCACATTGACAATCACGGGAGCTGCTAACAGCATGGCTCATATAGACGTCTTGCGTATGATGCTCGGAAACACCAGATGGGCACTTGACTTTTCTCTCTATATACTAAACGAGCTCTTCGACCTCGCCGATGAATTTGAAAGCGTATCGGCCGATCAGGAAGCTTTCAGCCAAAAATGTTGGTCAAATCCATACTCCGGAAACCGTCAACTGTACTAACGCCCCGTAGTGAAAACCACAAACTCACTAGCTCTCATCATTCTCCTCTCAAGCATGTCCCGTGCTTTCTTGCGCTTTATCTGCCGTGGTCTGCGTGGCATCCACGCGGGCTATACGAACGCATCTCTAGCCGGTGACTCTCGTCTACAGTACGCAGAGATATGCCAAGCATTAGATGCCACGCCTGCACGAATCGATGTATACGAAAAGTTCCTTTCGGCTGTCGATTCGGCCGTACGACACGCCTACCATGGTGCCGGTTTTGGTGACACTGAACGACCGGGGCCGGAGAAGGAATTGCTTGTCAACGCCCGCATTCCTCCTGTCCTCGTTGCAGCTGTCTCAACAATCCTTCGACAAACGGTACCGGGACTCAAGTCCGACGTCGACCGCATGGCCATCTACATGCACGACTACTCGTGGCTCGGGTTCGGCTCCGACCGACGCTCGGAGTTATATCGGCGCACACGAGAAGTGGATATCATCAAGAAAACGCCCATCCGGATGACGATCGCACAAGGCTCGAATGGACCCCAGCTTGGGAAACAGAACAACCAGGGAGTCCTTCGACGGCGATGCGTCCGCTGCTGCGATGTATCTGAGGGGACTTATCCGCCACGCTCTGTCCTTGCGTTCCGCATGATATTCAAGTTGGGCCATTTACGATCGTGCATTTGTGGAGGAATGTGGACTCTTGAGTCAGGTTTGAACGAGGTGGGAAAATAGAAAGGGCTTCGACCCTGGCGGTCGTAGCAGTGGCTTTTTGGGTAGTTATGTTGATACCAAAAGGTTAGACTAGAATGATTGGTTAAGGCGTGTGGTATAATAGCGTATATAGATGCAAACACGAATGGACAAGTATTACGATGTCAGTTGCCTCCACTGTTCCTTGGATTTGTACATAGGCCGACAGTTGAGACACCCCGCCAATAAGTAGTACTGTCTGCATCTCGAACTCGAGCGCATGTCAAATACCAATCGTTGCATAGGGGCATTCATACAAGATACACTACTTATCTACTACTCTATAGCGAAGAAATCACTACACTCGGAGACAAGATAGTTAATCATCCACTCCGCAACCACCACAATACCAATAACATAAATCCTTTATCTCATGTCATGTCAAGCAAGGCCTTCATTTAAAAACATCGATCTGCATCTTTTCTTTTTTTTCTAAGATACATAATCGATTTCTTTTTTCAAAAGAAACCGTTTTGATGAATCCGACCCCCTCACGGCAAGGTTAGGTCAACCCGTCATCATTAAACGACGTTCCCGTTAACTCCATCCAGATCCAGAGACGACCCCGTCTTTAACATTTAAGCCTGTTTATACCAGTTAGTCAATGTCCTTGATGTCTCTCTCGCTGGTTCTTCCTGCAGGGCAGCAAGAACCAAATAGTCGGGTTTTGTGTGGCTTCGTACCTTAACAGCGTACTTCCGCTGGGGGAAGTGGATCTCCTGCTTGCGCTTGCGCTCGGTCTTCAGGGTAGCCTCGTGCTTGGTGAGACGGCGGCGGAGAGCACGGGTGAGCTTGGGGCGGAGGTCAAGAGGAGTGTACTTCTTGTTCTTGTAGAACAAGCGGAGCTGAGCGCGCTGGTTGGCGTTGATGACGGTCAGAACGCGAGCGATCGACTTGCGAACGTCGTGACTGTTAAGAAAGATGGTATATCAGCATCCCTATTCTTCTTGATTTTTCCTGATTCTTGTGCGCATGTGTGTCCATATTCTTCATGTAGGTGGTGGTGGGAGATATGTTGGTGAATTTTGCGCCCTGTCGGAAAGTTTCTTCTCGGCTTGGGTTTTTCTTGTTGTTCGTGGTCGTGTGCCCCTCGTTCCTTGCTGGTGTGTCGATTTCATGGGTTGTCGAAATTCCCCTTGACTGGTATTCCGTTTTTTGGTCTTTCGAATTGTCGAATGTTGTTGTCGTTTCCCTTCCTCCGGCCGTAATCCACAATCCGACAGGTGCAAATCTCATATCCTTCCCACCACACACGCACACAGAACGCACACACACACACATGAGGGGTTCGCAGGAGAGAATTGATTCAAACGCACATTCTGTGGGTCTTCGAGGAGGCACCGCCAGCGATCTTCTGGACACGGAGCTGGCTCAGCTCGGTCTTCAATTCCTCCAGCTGCTTGGTGAGGTCATCCTTGCTCTTTCCCCAGAGCTGACCAGCCTTGACCTTGGACGACTTCAAATAAGAAAAACACCGGTCAGCATTTCACGCAGAAATCAAAAAACTGCGAAATAGCAGCATGGCGCGCATTCAACATACCATGGTGGGCGGCTTCGTGTCGTATCGTACGGGTTGTCGACGTGAGGATTGAAGATGGACCGGGTCAATTTGGGATGTTCGTTGTGGGACTAGGGTTTGATTTTTTCTGGGTGTGCGGCGGCTTAAGCGGGCACGTGATTGTGGCTGGTGGTTGCCGTGGCCCAGTTGGGGTTTTGGTTTAGTAGTAAGTAGTAAGTACTGCCGCGCCCCCCGGGATGACGCCGCCTCCGTCCGCCGCCCCGGCCGCCCTGACTTGGCCGTGCGATAGTGGGTTAGACTAAGGCTGCTGTCGCTGCTGCTACTGCTGTCGTTGTCGTTGCTTGTTGCTGTGCCGCCGGTCGGATCATGTTGCGTTGGTTATGACGGGGTTCAATTTGAAGCTTGATTTACTCTCTTCCTTCTATATTCCCGACTTGACGGTGTCTTATCGTCGTTATCGGTGTCGTTGAATAACTTCCAGTCTCATTCTACTGCCTACACACACACATCACTGGCACTTACCTACCTACCTATATACACCCTCATATTGTCGTAATCCACCATCATCGCCATGGCCACTTCAACCGGTACCGGCTGGGCTCAGCTCCGGCAGCAAGCCCGATCTCTCGAGACTCAGGTACGATCATCGCTTCCTGTCACATAAGATGTGTCCTATCCTAACAATGTACATACATCATAGACCGAGAACCTTTTCCACACATACTCTCAATACGCCTCATTAACAAAGCTCCCTCCCACACCCTCGGAGGAAGAGCAGCGGATTGAATCGCAACTCAAAGACCTCCTAGAACGAGTACGCATTTACTCTCTTTCATCACCATCACCATCTCACTACTCCATAACCTCCCATCAACTAACCATCAATCAATCACCAGCGCGACTCCCTAATCTCCCAACTCGCCCGCCTCCTCGACTCCGAAGCAACCCTCACCTCCTCCGCCCTCAAACAAAACAACCTCTCCCGTCACCGCGAAGTCCTCCACGACCACCGTCGCGAACTCCAGCGTCTCAAATCCGCCATCTCCGAGTCCCGCGACCGCGCTAACCTCCTCTCCAACGTCCGCTCCGATATCGATGCCTACCGCAACTCGAACCCTGGTCAGGCGGAAGCCGATTACATGCTTGAGGAGCGGGGTCGGATTGACGAAAGCCATAATATGATTGATGGGGTGTTGAGTCAGGCGTATGCTATTAATGAGAACTTTGGTCTCCAGCGGGAGACGCTAGCCAGTATTAATCGACGCATTGTGGGCGCGGCGAACTCGGTGCCCGGGATGAATGCGTTGATTGGGAAGATTGGCTCGAAGAGGAGACGGGATGCGTTGATTTTGGGGGCTTTTATTGGGTTTTGCTTTTTGATGTTGCTTTGGTTGAGGTGATTGCTTGATTCTGTTTGCTTTGTCTGAAGCATGTTGTCACCGTGCTTGTGGGTATTATTGTTGCTGCTTATGTTGTCTATTGTGGGTTTGGGATGGGCGTCTTGAGGAGTGAGATTTGTCTCTTTTTTTCTTCTCTATTCTTTCCTTTGTCTATGCGCTGTTTTTGCGTCTATACTATACAGAGATTAATGGTGGGGGGAGATTTGTTTCCTGGTGTCGGGTCAGTGCTGTCTGGAGCATATTCCACGCTCTCACTCAACACTCACACAAACACCCTGGTATGTACATACACAGAGTCCAGAATCCAGTATGAACTGGGTGATCCCGTACCTGTCCAGTCACCCATCTAGGGCATAACAACCCGAGGCTTCTTCACAGCCTCACCCTGACCCTTCGCACCATCCCACTCCTGCGCCGGCATCTCCGACTGCAAACTGACCTTCTTCTCCTGCACCAACTTGCGCACCCCATTATTCAGCGCCTCCAACTCCACCTTCTCAGCAGGCCCACTGCCCGCCCACCGAATGCGACAATTCTCATCCAACAAATACACATACCCGACCTTCGAGTTCAACATCCCAATACTCTCCTTCAACCCATCATCCAACCCCTTCCGCACCAGGAAATACCGCTCATGCTGCTCCTCCGGCAACTTGGCCCGCATACGCCACATGAACATCTTCACCAACCCAGCCTTCAATGCATTCTCCTCCAGGTTGATATCAACCTTCTGCACCATCCCATCTCCCTCTGAGGCAATCGCCTCCCAAAGACCAGGGTTCTGTTCCTTGCCCGTGAAAGTAACGACCTGCGACTCGGCCCACACGCTAGAGAACAGGTTAACGATGGTGATCTTTCCGCGGAAGAGAGTCGTCGTGTTCTGAGGTTCCTTTGGCGAGGCGAGAGTGATGCCGTGCATGTTGGGGAAGTAGAGGGCTTTGTCGCGCTTGAAGAGTCGGGGGTTCGACATGAAGGTTTTGCCTTCGTGGTAGCGCATGTTCGACCATTCGCGGAAGTAGGGCTTTGCGACTTGTCGGGTTCTGTAATTTATCATCGAGATTTAGAATTAGAGCTTGCATAAAATAGTATAGGCTTCGGGAATGGGATGGAGACGTACAGTTCTTTCCGCCGCTCAAGATGTCTCTCGTAGTTCACGAAATCATCTCTCCTCTGTCGTATAGACCGGTCATCGACACCCGTGTTCTGTCCTTCTTGTGGCGGTATCACCGATCCAATAGGTCGGTCCAGCGTCGGAGGTATGAAGTCGTCATCACCGGGCTCGCTAGTCGGGGAGGGCACTTTGGATGCTGTCGCTGAGTAGTTTGCTTGGAATTGAGCTACTCTGTTGGTCTTGTTCGCGAGAGATGAAATGGGGGAGGGTGTTGTCTGCTTGGTTTCATTGCTGCTGCTGGTGTCGGGTTTGCTGGCGTAGTAACGCAGCGCAGCGGTTCGGGGCCGGAGAGCGGCCGCATTGCGCAATTGGCAGCTGAGGCACCGAGCGCTCTGGAGGTGCGTCGGCTCAGTTAATGAGGCTAGAAGCCCCGTGCGCTTCCACATTGTTGGAGGTGAGGTATCTGTGGGGAAGTAGTAATTGAGGTAGGTGGGTTGGTTGGTTGGTTGAATGTTCGGCAGACTCTCTTCACTGGACTATCACTGATAATTGTTGCTGGAGATCCACTCCGCCGAACAGGCCGAGTTTAATTAGTGGTCCCGTGACTTGGCGACATTTTCGTGACTGAGTATCACGCGTCACTGGTGGAATTCGTGTCACTCTGGAATGGAGTGTTCTGAATATTCTGACGCTGCTGTGGATGGATGGATGGATTGTCTGACTACATGAACTCTGTATTCATGGCTGCTTCCGTCAGATGATACTGTTACCTGCTAGGCAGCAGTGACGCAAGAACTCATGGCTCGCCGGATTTTGAGTCGCGGGACCTTCCACTTCACAATACCATGGCGACGGTGGTGAAGGACAAGGAGGCCTTTTTTAAGGAATTAGAGCGGCTGGAATATCCCAGTGATGGTGAAAATGAGGATTTCAGCGGTCTGGTGCATCTCTCGAGGAAGCGCTGTGAATGCCCTCCGTCTATCTCATTCACTCCGGCCTCAGATATAAAGGCTCCCGCGGCGCCGCCGTTGGTGAGAGCTTCTACAGAGCCTTCACTTGCTTCACCAAGTGTATCTGAGGTCAGCACTGAAAAGGACGTTGTTACTACGTCTGAACAAACACCAACACCAGCTGTGACCAGATCATCCTCTACAGACGAGATGCCGCGGAAAGGGAGGACTAAAGGTGGTGGCAGGTCTAAAAGAAAGGGACGTACGTTTAGGGCCTTTGATATTCCAGAACACCGGAAGATACTCAAGGGTCTCGTCTTCTGTCAGTACTATAACCTCGGATGTGTACCTCTAAGCGTTCAGTGACACTAATTCGAAGGAGTAGACTACCTCCCCAACGACGACAGAACAACACTTAGAAAGCTCCAAATGCAGCGTGCGCGTGAATACGGTGCCTCGCGAGCAAGGGAATGGAATGACACCATCACTCATGTCGTTGTAGAAAGGTGGTACACGTACGAGAATGTCATGAAACATTTCAAGAATAAGCCCATCCCGGTAGGTTTAGGAACTCAAGCATTGTCTAGTCTGATACTAATGTCTTTGAAGGAAAACGTTGCTCTCGTGGACAGTAACTATCCTCTCCTATGTATTGGGGCCCGCCAAATGTTGGACGCGACTCAAACTCGCTTTCGGGTCCGTGGCGCACCTGTTCCTGGGAAGGCCAAAGAATCCTCGCCTGCGCGTGAGCCCTCGTCAAATGGGTCGTTGCCGATAAAGCCAGCGAAGGCGAAACGCGGTTACATTGATACACAGAGCACCGATGACGAAGCTGACACTGAGCTGTTCGAGCCGGAGGTCGACGAAAACCTGGAAGATAAACAGATCACCTATAAATTAAACCAGGGTCGCGATGCTTTGGATGATGTGATCGAGGAAGTTCAGGCAATAAAGGACCTGGTAAGTCTCCCCCACTGCGTACATCTCAAAGCCTTAGACTGACGAATGACTTAGCCCATAAGGATAGATTCAGCCGACGAGGCAGCAGCAGCCGAGACAACCGACGACGAGACCTCCGACTCATCAGACGCCGGGCCAGCGAAGAAGAAGCGAAAGACTATCGAAAAAGACGACTGGCAACAGAACTTCGTCTGCATGCAAAAGTACGACGCACAATCGAACTCGGAGAACCCCAACAGCAACACCATAGCCATGCTCCAGCAAATGCTAGAATTCTACAAGCGAACAAACGACCAGTGGCGCGTCCTCGCCTACCGCAAAGCTATCAGCGCTCTCCGCCGACAACCGCGTAAAATCAGCACCAAATTAGAAGCCCTAGCCATCCCAGGAATCGGACAGCGCCTCGCCGAAAAAATTGAAGAAATCGTCTCCACCAACCGCCTCCGCCAGCTCGAAAATGCCACCAACAGCCGCGAAGACAATATTCTCAAACTCTTCACCGGCATCTACGGCGTCGGCATCACCCAAGCATCCATATGGCTAGCCGAAGGCTACAAAACCCTCAAAGACCTGAGAGTCAAAATCAAATTGACCGACAACCAGCGCGTCGGCATAGATCACTACCACGACTTCGCCCAACGCATCCCTCGATCCGAAGTCGAGAAACACGGCGAAATCGTCCGCAAAGCAGTCCAATCAGCCGACCCAGACATGCAAGTCATCATCGCGGGCTCCTATCGCCGCGGTGCCCCAGACTGCGGCGACATCGACCTACTAATCACCAAGCCCGACGCCGAGATCGACCACATCAGAAACGTGATGGTGAATACCGTAATCCCGACGCTGTTTAAGCAAGGTTTCCTAAAGGCCAGTCTGGCCAGCTCATCATCCCGAGACGGGTCCAAATGGCACGGTGCATGTGCCTTACCACCACGACCCCTCAAGAACAACAACAAATGGGAATATTATAATACAACTACCGGCCCCTGGCGACGCATCGACCTCCTATTCGTCCCCGACGCAGAGATCGGAGCCGCACTGATCTATTTCACCGGCAACGACATCTTCAATCGAAGCATGAGATTACTAGCAAGCAAAAAGGGCATGCGGCTCAATCAACGAGGTCTCTACACGGATGTACTACGCGGTCCTCAACGCGCCAAAATCAATGAGGGCCGATTACTTGAGGGCCACGATGAGCGTCGCATCTTTGATATTCTGGGTGTGCCTTGGCGCCCTCCGGAGCATCGCATTTGCTGATTGATGCGTGGGTGGGTGGGTGGGTGGGTGGCTGTGGCTGCCACTTGACGGGTGACAGATAACATTTCTCGGAATTGTCGGGAATGGTTCTGCTTTTTTGCAGGTTGCTTTGCTTTTGCTTTTTGGTTGGGGGGATTTTTCGCCAGACCGACTTCTCGGTGTGCGTCAAATGCGTGCAGGCAGCAGGGCAGGGCGGCTGCCGCGAGGAGGGCCTGAAATGGAAATTCCCGCGTTGAGAGGTGAGATGAGATGAGATGATGAAGGTTTGAGAGGGTAAGGAAGGGGATTGGGGGGTGTCAAATTGGTAGATGAATTGGGGATCGCAATCATTTACTTGGGTATGTGTGTGTGGCACATGCGTTATCTATCTACTGGTTGTATTGTTCTTCTTCTGGGGGAAACTTGTTGCTTATTGTCCCGGGGGGAAAGAGAGCGGGGGAGTGCGGTGAAAAGGCGGTCACGATCACTATCAACTATCACTATCAGTGCAAAACGATTCTTGGAAGCTTGATCGAACGTCGGTTGCGCCAAGGGGTAGCACGGAAACTATCTAAACAATATCATATCCTACTAGATCAAACGAACATTTCCTATTGCCGAAGATGGTGGTGGAAGGATAAGCGCAGGATCCGGATGAAGTAGCCATTGGCCTGGATGATTCATGCTTCCGGTAGATAGATGATTATGCAGGATACAATGAATAAAGCTAAGTTATTGCT